TAGGTAGGTAGATAGATGATAGATAGATAGATAGATAGATAGATAGATAGATAGATAGATAGATAGATGGATAGTCTAACAGAGTAGAGGCATGGCTTAACCATATAGCATTTGCTAAGCACCTAGAAGGCCTTTCATTAGTCAACAGTAATATAAATGAAACAATGAATGAATAAAGGAATACATGAGCAAGCACACCAATGCATAGATAAGTAAATGAAAAAATAATACAGCAAGCAAATAAATACATAAACAAATATTCCAGTGGGTAAATAAATAAGTGACCATAAATAAATAAATGGATGAATAAATAAATTTAGATGATGCACCAGGCAACATATAAATAAATAGGTTAATAGCCATTAAATACATAAATAAATATATATATAAGTATATATGCCGGGCGGTGGTGGCGCACCCCTTTAATCCCAGCACTTGGGAGGCAGAGGCAGGCGGATCTCTGTGAGTTCGAGGCTAGCCTGGTCTCCAAAGCGAGTTCCAGGAAAGGCGCAAAGCTACACAGAGAAACCCTGCCTCGAAAAACCAGAAAAAAAAGTATATATAACTATTTATATAACTAGGTATATAACAGTGTAACAGAGAAGAGACATAGCACATCACTATGGTATTTCTCAGCATATTGAAGATCTTTTACTACTCTAGGGCAAAATAAATGAAAGCTTTCACACATACATTACACAAATATATAAATAGATAAGCAAGTCAATCAATGAATCAATAAATAATACAGAAAGACAATAAGTATATGAATAAACAATTTAGCCAATAAGTATATAAGCAAGCATGCACACCAATAAATAAATGACACGGTATGCCAATAAATAAATAATGCAGCAAGGAAATATATAAATAAATAGATCATGAAGCCATCAAATTAATAAATAGTTATATAGATTTATATACAGTTTAACACAGAAGAGGCCTGGCTCATCAGTTTGGTATTTCTCATCATACTAAAGGCTTTTCACTAATCTAGGACAAATAAATGAATACTTCCATACACATACAAATATATAAAAAGACAAGCAAGTCAATAAATAAATAAATAACTCAGCAAGCCAATATATACATAAATAAATCCAGCCAATCAATCTTTAAGCATGTAAATAGATAGATAGATAGATAGATAGATAGATAGATAGATAGATAGATAGATAGATAGATAGATAACACAGCAAGCCAATATATACATAAATAAATCCAGCCAATCAATATTAAATAAAGAAATAATGCAGCAAGCCATTAAAAAATTAAGAAACTACCCGGCGGTGGTGGCACACATCTTTAATCTCAGCAACTGGGAGGCAGAGGCAGGTGGATCTGTGATATTGAGGACAGTCTTGCCTACAGAGTGAGTTCCAGGAAAGGCACCAAAGCAACACAAAGAAACCCTGTCTC